TTTTTTTCAGGACAAAAACTTACATTTTTAAGGAAAGTTAAATTTAAATCATGACGAACTTCAGGCAAGTTCTGAGCTTCTTGTTTTTCTTCGATTTCAGAGCAGATTCATGGACGTTTATCTGAGATCCTTTAAAGGCGTAAATCACACCGTTCTACATCAATATTTGTTTTTATTTAATCGTACTTGTGAGGAGGACGTTTTTAGAGTCGCCTGAAACAAATCATCTCATCAGAATCGCTTCATTCTACTCGTCCCGCAGCATCTTTATCCTACAGATCGTATGTTGTCATTCCCTGACGGTTAAAGTGTCGTCAGCAGCAGTAATTCAGAACCCTGAGCATGTGTTCTGAGTTTGTGCTGGTTTCACTTTCACAGCTGGTCCGACTCAGATCCAGAGACGTGAAGCATAAATAAAGCCTCCTGTACGTCGGCCTCTTAGCGTTTCGTCTTCGCTCTGAGGAACGTTCGGGCGTAATGGGAAATCCCTGCGTTGATGCTTTCACAGCAGAGCGCTCCGACATCCAACCAGCTGCGGAAATAATTCTCCCCTCTGACAAGAAGAAGACGACGAAGACGACGACGAGGAGTGCGGCTTAATAAATTTAAATGAGCAGATGGAACAAGCTCGAGTGTCGTCACTTGACTTCAAAGTAAATTGCCCTCTTGAAGTGCCTCCTAATTAATTCATTTCTGAATCAATAAACATCTATTCCACCTCGCCGGGAACGACGGTGGCCCAGAGATGAAAGGACAAAAGGGTTGAGAAAGACGGATGAAGAGAAGGAGCCGAGTGGAAGACAAAGGCGGCGAGTAAATCAATGGCTGACTCCTGTGTGGTAACGCAGACGGATGTGTCGCTCCCACGAATGAATAAATGATCAAATAAGACGGACGGAATAAATGAAAGACTCGTCGGCCTGATGGATGAAATGAAGAAGGAGCGAGCGCCTGACGGAGTCGCCGACCTTCTCGGAGGCGTTGGACAGATGGAGGGCGACAGAAATGGATTCGGTTAAAAACGGATAATCAATCAGCCGGCGTGGCGGCGCTTCGCTGACCTTTTTCTCGGTGGTGATGTACAGGTGCTGGCGGTCCGAATCGAACAGAAGGTTCTTGTTGACCTTGTCGCCGGTGACTTCGCCCGGCGCTCGGCCGTAGACCTCCGGGTGGGCCGACAGGTGGACCTTCAGCACCTGCAGGAGGAGGGAACGGCTTTAAACATCTGAACGGGAAAGTCGGGTTTTGTTTTTTAAATAAAAAAACACCAAAATGAAATCATTTATTGTCTGTGAAGATTCTCAGTCATCCAGGTTATTCGTAGTTACTCTTAGCAACTGGACTTGCTTGAGTTTAGCGAGAGGGAGGAGCAACAAACCCCAAACTGAAACCGAAACTCAGGTGTTAATGTCTCATTCAGGATATCTGGAACTCCCAACTAGTCAGTCAGATCTGGTGAAGCCTCTTGGATGAAGGTGTAACGTCTTCAAGGAACTCAAGCAGGTCCAGTTTCTATGATTAAACTACGAGAATACGTCATTTATTAAAGCCAGAAACTGTAAAAACAGACATAATCATTGGATTTCCTACTTTTTAACTGTCCTCGAACTCATCATGTGCGACTTCCATCAGGAAAAATGACCAAAAATAAGCTTGAAATCGTGACGTTTAATCAAAATAACGTAAACCCATGTGCTCCAACCAGATTTCTTTAAAAACAAAACAATCAGTGACTTAGTTCACACCAATCGTCACGTGACTAAAAACTCCTGGACTATTCAGCTGAACTGCAGGCAGTGTTCAGACTGAGAAAAGTACAGAAACTAATTTAAAACAGTCTGTAAAACGTCCAAATTTTACCCAAAATAAACCAGTTGCTGTATTTAAATTCTGTAAAAAACATAAAACTCAGTGCTTCTTGGTGCAACTTAAAATAAAGGACTGATTGAGCTGTGATCAACAGTCGCATAGGAAAAACTCGGAGACCACTCAGCTGAACTGCAGGCAGTGTTTCCAGAATTAGGACAATTAGGAGGCCTCAGTAGAGCGACATCGCTGCCCAACGTATGCATGTTTACCTGATTCTGTGGTTTACTGTGCGCCTACTAGAGGACGTAACACAGATGTGTTGCATGGAGGGAAAGCGTTTTGATTTAATTTATGGCTACAGCTGAGCACCAAAGAGTTATGACCTTGAGTCTGACCTTGACCTTTCACCCAAGGTCAAATGTCACATCACCAACATGGCTTTCCTGTCATAAGAAACTACGTGTTTATCTTTCACCTTTTCCAAGTTATAATGGATTTCAAATCTGTGATGCCTTACGA